GATTAAAGGCGTGTGCCACCACTGCCCTGCAGCTTTGTTCTTTGTTTTTTTTTAGGACAGGAGCTCAAGTCATCCTCAAATTCACTTTGTAGCCAAGGATGACCTTGAACTTCTGATCTGTCCTGCCTCTGCCTCCTCCGCAGGGATTATAGGTGTGGTCCACAACACCTGGTGTATGCAGTGTTGGGAATTGAACTCAGATCATTATGCGTCCTAGGCAAGCAGTATACCATGTGAACTACATTTCCAGACTAAACGTCTTTTCTTAAGCATTCTGCCAGGGCTGTGCTGCCTTCCCAGTCAATAGCCCCAAAGCTCAGCTTGATATCTACCTGGAAAATTATTAACGCTGTCACACATGTATATATTATGTAGTAATTCTGAGATGGAGAATTGGGGTGTTGTGAAGAGAGGGGGGATGCTTAAGCTATAAGAGCTCTAACAGACCCTGTTGGCTTGAGCTTTGAGTCTCTTGTGCCTTTTAATGTAGGAGAGCTTGATGGGTCATCAGGAAGATTAAGGAGGCAGTCTTTGTAAAGTCTGGGACACAGAAAACTTCTCTAAGAAGCCAGATATGGTATCACATGTATTCCATCCCAGTAGGTAGGCAGAGGTAGGCAGATCTTTGTGAGTTCAGGGTTAGCCTAGTCTACATAAGAGGTCCAACCCAGCCAGATTTACACAGTGATACAAAAAGAAAAAAGAAATGAAAAGGAAAAAAGAAAATAAAACAACCCTATGACTCAGCCAACCTTGAACAAACACATGAAACATGTTTCCCTTAATAGTGTCATAAGCACACATGGTTTCTTCTCCCCGCTCCCCAAAGTTAGGCTAGTCCAGGAGTGAAGAAGACATTTCTGAGGCTCTTGGCAGAGACTATTGATAACATAAGCCATCCCGGTCAGCACTTGGGACTTTTATAATACCCCACGCCGCCACTGCTATTGCTTCCAAACAACCATGAACCTGGCCTGGGAAAGGGTTCTTTCTCCCGACAAAGTGACAGGCTAAACGGCAAGGCATGAAAAGGGATTACTGGGTACATGTCTTCAAATAATAGTGAGGTCCCCAGAAGCAGGTCAGGCTGAGAAGGCGGCCTTCAACTGTCGGTCAGTGAAAAGGTTGGCAGTTATGAGCATCATCGGGAGATCTTGCTAACAGATGTCAGGTGTTGGCAGACTGACTGCCAAAACCAATCTTCCTCCACCCCCCAGCTACCAAGCTGATGGAGAGCTGGGCACAGTGGGCCTGGCAGGCCCCTCTTGCTTGGATCATTGGCTGTGTTATTATTTCTCAGTGGCTGCGTAAAACAGATGGTTTACCGTGTAGCCTTGATTTTCTGTTGCTTTCAGGATCCTATTCTTCCCTCGGGGTCCAGCATGTAATCAGTTATGACAGCAGCGGAGCGTGAAGGTTCCTGCCGGTAAATCCAAACATCTCCCTCTTTAATGCTGGAATAAACCACTGCAGCCTCCGCCTCCGGAAACATGAAAAGATTTGCCTATGCCGCACCGTACCGTGGCAGATAGTTCGCTCTGTCGCAGAGTTGCAGTTCTTTGGACCCTGAAAGCCCCTAGTCTATATTTGAATGGCAATTGTTCTTATTGTCACTTGTTTTGGAGAGTGTTTTCTTAGGTACCCCAGGCCTGGAACTCTGAACTAGCTATGTGGTCTTCAACTTGAGACTTCCTGCCCCAGACTCTGGAGAACTAGGGTTACAGTCATGGTTCACTCTGTCCTCTTTGGCGTTAGACTTAGGGTCCTGTTTGTATTGATGAGTCCTTCTTTAGTTTAGCAGATTGTTTTATAATTGGTATATAAAAACTGCATATATTTACGCTGTTTGGATTTACTACGTGATGATAGATTATGATAAAGAGTCTGACATTTGTATTTCTATCCATCAACTACCTTAGATTCTATAGATACTGGTGAATTGTCAATACATTTTAATTTAGATTCTTTAAATGATTTAAAAAAGCTGTGAAGTGTCTGCCACAAAAACATGAATATCTGAGTGTGATCCCTAATACCTATGTGAAAGGTAAGACAAGGACGACCTTGAACTTCTTTTTTTTTCCTTTGAGACAAGGTTTCTCTGTATAGCCCTGGCTGTCCTGGAACTCACTCTGTAGACCAGGCTGGCCTCAAACTCAGAAACCCGCCTGCCTCTGCCTCCCAAGAGCTGGGATTAAAGGCGTGTACCAACACTACCCGGCTTGACCTTGAACTTCTGATCTCCCTGCCCCTGCCTAGGTATGGTGCATGTTTCTAATCCCAGGACTGGGGTTAGGGATGGAAACAGGAGGATCCCTGGGGCTTGCTGGCCCCAGTCTAGATGAACCAGGGAGCTCTAAGTTCACTGAGAAACCCTGTTTCAATAAATACAGTGGAGGGGCAGGTATGGTGGCATATACTTTTAATCTCAGCACCCCAGGAGGCAGAAGCATGCAGATCTCTGTGAGTTCAAGGCCAGCCTTGTCTACAGAGTGAGTCCCAGGACAGCCAGGACTACACAGAGAAACCCTGTCTTGAAAAACCAAAAAAAAAAAAAAAGTAAAACCAAAAACAATCCAACCAATCAAAAAACAACCTAAAAATAAACAAATACAGTGAAGGGCCACGGAAGTAAGAGGGGAACTTGGTGAAAAAAGAAGGTTGCAAACAGCTAACTCTCAGGGCCAACAATGACTAGGCATTAGAAACATATGGGTGTCTGGAATGCTTCCTCACAGGTTTAGTCGGGTTTAGTTTTTCTGAAGATCTGCCTTGTTAGACTTCGACGCGCAGCTTGGAACAGACAACACCAGACCAAACGGTTCTAAAGGGGAGGGGGTTTATTCAGGGCAGAGGGCAAAGGTAGGGAGAGAAACGGGAGAAGATGGTGGAGAAAGAGGAGAGAGAGAAGTGGAGGCCGGCCATGACCACATGGAGAGAAGGGGAAGGGAAGGAAGGAAGGGCGAGGAGAAGATAGAGGCAAGAGAATAAGAGAGTAAGAGAGAGAGGAGGAGGCAAGCAGCCACTTTTATAGTGGGCAAGCCTACCTGGCTGTTGCCAGGTAACTGTGGGGAGGAGCATACCTGGGTGTTGCCAGATAACTGTGGAGGTGGAGTTTAGACAGAATACTAACTTTTACTAACTTGCCTGGCATTTAAAATGTCCCTGGGTAATGTAAATGTAACTTCTATTCCTCAGATATAATTGTCATCTCAGAGGCTTACTGCTGAATAAACTCTCCCTTTTTCTTTCTGAACTCCTACTGGCTGATTCAACTCAGCTGTTCTGGCCTAAATTCCTCTCCAAGCTGACTGATTCAAATTGGCTTCCCTGGGACTCTGAATTACTCTGCTTGGCCTCAAACAAATTCTCTGGCAATCTGTTCTAATATATAACCCCCCCTTTCTCTCTCTGTCTCTCTCTCTCTCTCTTTATCTCTCTGTCTCTCTGTTTCTCTCTGTCTCTCTCTCTCTTTATCTCTCTGTTTCTCTCTCTCTCAGTCTTTCTCTTTGTCTCTTTCTCTCTGTTTCTCTCTCTCTGTCTCTCTCTCTCTCTCTTTGTCTCTCTGTTTCTCTCTCTCTCTGTCTATGTGTGTGTGTGTGTGGGGGGGGTCTTTCTGTCTGTCTGTCTGTTTCTGTGTCTCCCCTGTCCCACTCTGCTGTCTTAAGTAGCCTCTCTTTCCTGTGCTATTCTCATAAGAGTTGGGATTATCCTGTTTCTGACTCATTCTGTCAAATCTTTCTCTGATTCATCAATTCTTTCTCTGAATCACCTATTAGATGTCACTTGTTTGGGATTAAAAGTGTATAATAAGGGCATGTCAGTGTTTCAACCAGAGGGATTAAAGGTGAGTCATTCCAGCAAGATCACACAGACCTAGGTCTTTGGATGGATCCCTTGCTGAAGCAGCCATGTTTGCTGGATTAAAATTCCTAACAGGGCAATCCACTGGGAATGAAGTTTGAGGGTCTCTGAACTAGCCCTGTGCCGACTAGCTTTGTGAGCCTAGACAAACTGCCTTAGTTTCTTTTGAGGCCACATTTCTCATCTCTGTACTGCAGATAAGGAAGCCTAACTGTGCCATCTCCCCCGCCCCCACCATTGCTACAAGGTCAAATGCCACGATACATGGTACACGGTTTTGAATCTGTCTCAGACATTCTTTTTTTTTTTTTTTTTTAAGATTTATTTATTTATTATATATGAATACACTGTAGCTGTCTTCAGACACACCAGAAGAGGGCATCAGATCCCATTACAGATGGTTGTGAGCCACCATGTGGTTGCTGGGATTTGAACTCAGGACCTCTGGAAGTGCAGTCAGTGCTCTTAACCACTGAGCCATCTCTCCAGCCCTGTCTCAGACATTCTATCTCTTATCTAAAATATAATTGGGGAATCACTACAACACATGGACTGTCAAATGCAAGGATCTAGTTAAGAATGCAAAAAGACAACACATCCAAAATTATGACCCATGTAATGCTTGGGCCTATAGTTAAACAACCTACCTGGCAAGAATATATACATTATTATTATTATTATTTGTCATCATCATCACCATCATTGTCATCGATGTAAGCACCAAGACCACCTGGCAAGAATATATACATTAATTTTTTTTTTTTTGGTTTTTCGAGACAGGGTTTCTCTGTGTAGCCCTGGCTGTCCTGGAACTCACTCCGTAGACCAATAATAATAATAATAATAATAATAATAATAATATATTCATCATTGTCTTCATCTTCATAAGCACCAAGACCAAAATCAAGATGGCAGGAAAAGAGTTTATTTTGCTCACACTTCCACATCTTTTTTTTTTTTTTTTTTTAAAGATTTTTTTATTTATTTATTTATTTTTATTTATGAGTACACTGTAGCTGTCTTCAGACACACCAGAAGAGGGCATCCAATCTCATTACGGATGGTTGTGAGCCACCATGTGGTTGCTGGGATTTGAACTCAGGACCTCTGGAAGAGCAGTCAGTGCTCTTAACCGCTGAGCCATCTCTCCAGCCCCCACACACTTCCACATCTTAGTGTGTATCATTGAAGGAAATCTGGACAGGAACTCAAACAGGGCAGGAACTGGAAGGCAGGAGCTGAGGCAGAGGGAATGGAGGAGAACTGCTTATGGGCTTGCTCATTGTGGCTTTCTTAGTCCGAGAATAGTACCAGTCCTATATGGGCTGGGCCCTTCCCAATCAATCACTAATTTTTTTAAAAAAATGTCCTACAGCTAGACATTATGGGAGAAATTTTTCAATTGAGGTTCCCTTCTGTGGTGGTTTGAATATGCTTGGTCCATGGGAAGTGGCACTATTAGGAGGGGTAGCTTTGCTGGAGTAGATATGGCCTTGTTGGAGTAAGTGTGTCACTGTGTAGGTGGCTTTGAGGGTTTCTAGTGCTCAAACTCCACCCAGTGTGGAAGAGTCAGTCCCCTTCTGGCTGCCTTTGGATCAAGATGTAGAACTCTTGACCCCTCCACCACCATGCCTGGCTGGATGCTGCCATGCCTCCTGCCTTGACGATAATGGACGTAATCTCTGAAACTGTAAACCAGCCCCAATTAAATGTCCTTTATACAAGTTGGTTTGGTCATGGTGTCTGTATTGGCTGGGGTTCTTAAGAGTCACAGAACTTATGTAATATCTCTATATATTAAAGGAAATTATTGAAATGACTTACAGTCTGTGGTCCATCTAACCCAACAATGAACACCTGTGAATCAGAAGTTTAGAATCTGGTAGTTGCTCAGTCCCACGAGGCTAGGTGTTCCAGCTGGTCTTCTGGATAAGCTGGAATCCTGAAAAAGTAGGTTCCAACAGTTATGCTAGCAAGTAGGCACAAGCAGGCAAAGAAGAGTGAGTCTTCCTTCTTCCTTTGTCCTTATGTAGGCCTCCAGCAGAAGGTATGGTCTAGATTAAAGGTATGTACCACTATGCCTGGGCCTAAGCTGTTCTTTACTTGGAACTTGCTCTGTCCCAGGTTGGCCTTGAACTCAGAGATCTGCTTGCCTCTCTATCCTAGGATTAAAGGATGTACCATCTTGCCTGGGCCTAAGCTTTTCATGGCCACTATGCTTCAAGATCCAGATCAAAAGCCTGTGTCTTCCAGCCTCAACATCTGGATCACAGCTGAGTCCCCATTTCTGGATTGTAGTTCATTCCAGATGTAGTCAAGTTGCCAACTGGGAATATCAGTCACAGTGTCTCTTCACAGCAATAAAACCCTAAGACAACTTCTTTGAGATAACAATAACCAGCACATTGTTTTATCATCGTCATCACCACCACCACCATGAGACAGGGGCTAACAATGTAGCCCCTGATGCCTGGAACTCCCTGTGTAGACCAGGCTGACCTAAAACTCAGAAGATTTTTTTTGCCTCTGACTCCTGAGTGCTGGGTTAAGGGTATGTGCCACCAAAGTTGGCAAGAATAAATATATCCTAAAGAGACTCTTGTGCCTTCTCTTTGGCTGTGAGTCTGTTGAAACAATGGCTCTACAGGAATCTCTTGCTGGAGGAAGAAAAAGTCCCGAAGGCAGTCAGAGGAGGGAACTCTCTCTGGGAGGAAAATCACTAGAGATAGGTGGATCTGAGACATCCCTCTGTGGGCGGCCATACCATAGTGGCTACTTAGTCATGTCTGTTTCTTAGCTTCCACTTAAAAATCCAGAGAAATTTTAGGATCCGATGGATGAACTGAGGCGAGGAATGGTGATTACACTGAATAAGCCTCCTTTTACTTACCATTTACTTGGCTCTCAATTGTCTTAGAAAGGCTAGGTGGCCAGGCCTGGCTTGCTGGGCACAGGCTATGACCTCCAACCCCTATAGCCCTTTTATCTCTATGTTCCTTTTTTTTGGTTTGTTTGTTTGCTTGTTTGTTTTCGAGACAGGATTTCTCTATGTAGCCCTGGCTGTCCTGGAACTTACTCTGTAGAGCAGGCTGGCCTCGAACTCAGAAATCTGCCTGCCTCTGCCTCCCAAGAGTTGGGATTAAAGGCATGCGCCACCACTGCCCGGCTGAACTCAACTCTTAATATAACAGATATCAGTGGGGACTTCTGGAGTGACTTAATTATGAATGAATGGTAGCAGCATTAGCGAAAATACTTGGTAATAATGTCTGGGAGGATCAGGCTCAACAAAGCAGAAGGCAAAAAAGGGGCCTGACAAAAGTCTTTGGTTAAGAAGTTGGGAGAGAAACTAGGTTGGTATAGATCTACATACCTAGTTTGACCTTACTTCCCAGGTAAAGGATAACAGCTAACCCCCACAGGATGCAGCCTGGCTGTGTAATCATGAGAGAGAAACCCATCGCCTTGGCCCACTATAGGCTCTACACTTTGCACGCATTCCTCAAATCAGTTCAGTATAAAAGAATCAAAGCAGTCCTTATCTGTCCCTGGTGCAAGCGGCGGTCTAGCTCTGCCAAGACTCCCAGGGCGTTAACCCAGGGCGGGGCCGCGCGCACCTGCCAGGCGCCAATCACAGGCCGGCGCGCAGGGGCGCAAGCGCCACTGGCCTGAGCGGGGCCGTTCCAGGTTTCAGCCTCCGCTCCTATTGGCAGCTTCCTGATGACGTTCAGCCGCTTCGACCAATAGCTACGGAGCCGGTCCGCAGGGCAGACGGAAGTAGTGCCGGCAAAGTGGCCCCGCAGTCAGGAGCAAGGAGGTGCTGCAGAGCCGGATCGTGGCTCACGCGCCTTGGGCCAAGATGCCACGCTTCGCCTTGACCGTCATCCGCCAGTGAGTATCGCAGTTGCTGGGAGCTTCCTGGCCTGGTTCTCTTCTGGTCTCTACGTGTTCCAGTCCGGGGAAGGTGGGCTTTCCATGTACTTTCCTTTGCGTACTTTCGTGTTCAATCTTTTATCCGCGACGCCTTGAGTGAGGAAGTCAGGTCTTAACTGTAAACAGCATAGCGTTTTCCCGAGGGAAGAAGTGTGGAGAAGCACATGATCAAGGTTCCCAGCCATTGAGTGAAGACATGACCTGACCTCTCTACTTCTCAGTGTGACCTTTCTGTTCCCCAGAATTGCTGGGGCACACCTCATCGGTCCTTTGCTGGTGGTCTTGTTTTCTCACCCCCCTCCTCCGTTTGTCCTTGTATCGGGGATACTTTTGAAATTTACCTCTCTTCAGAGGTTACAGTTCTGAGAAAAGAAATAGAGGGTCCTAGCTCTCCTCCATGTCGACCGCATCACCCTGAACAAACGTTGTTGTTGTTGTTGTTGTTTTTCATGACAGTTCATGGAGTAGAATCTGGCTTTAGGTCAGCCATCGGTTTCCTTCTCCGTACATATTTGCCTCGTGATGATGGTAGGCAAATTCAGGATGAGTGCTTCAAGGCGTTGGTTAGGATTCCAGCTAGGTGCGCCTCGTAGCCTAAGCATCTGAGGACAGACTTAATCTTTCTGACCTGTGTCCTGATAAGCAGATTGGTAGCTGCAGTTCTAATCTCGCTGGATTAGAGAACCAAATGGAGAAGATGGAGCCCATGGCATCAGAGAGGAAGAAATATACCCGAAAATTGAATAACTTATTCTTCTCTAAGCAAAGCTCAGATAAAACGCAGCTGAGTCTCACCTGTGTAGTCAAGACTTAACCAGAACAGCTTCTCAGAGCAGGACTTTGTCTTCATAGGGTTCACAGGATCACTGATATCATTTGAACCTTGTCAGGCTTTCTTCAACCAATGCCTTTTCTGTCCAGTGCCTTCTTTACAGGAAGATAAGATCTCTAGCATCTCGGGAAGTGGACCTTTAAGATTCAGGGATTTTAGTGGCTAAATTAGAAGTCTGGTTCCCCGTGTCTTAAGTGTCATTCCCTGTGTTTTCTAGAATGTTCTGGGAGATGATACAGCTTTATTGGGAGCACTGAAGGAACGTGAGTCCCTTTCTGGACCCAGCTGGGAAAGCCCCTTTGAAGCTATAGGAAATCTGGGTCTGGGAAACCATTCCTGCTTAGATTCTTAATGGGCGGTATGTGTGTGAATAGAGAGTTTTTGTGATTCACTGGTGAGTAAGGGGAGTGGAGACTTCAGGTAGCTTAAAGTCATGTGGCAAGTATTTGAACCAGAGCAAATTAACCCACTATTCTCGGCCTCTTGATTACCTTAAAGCCCAGTGTTCGAAAGTCACTTGAAAATATCACCTCCTGCTATAATTTTAGGGGATAGTAGGAGTAGTTTTCTTCAACAGTTGTGGCAGCATACCTAAAACCCCAGCAGTCAGTAGGCAGAGGAATTCAAGGCCAGCCTGGTCTACATTAGCAGCCAGAGGTACCTAGTGAAATCCTGTCTCAAAGTTTTATTCTCTTTTAGACACAGAAAGACAAGTATGTTGAAATAGACAGGGCTGTGGCTAGCTACTGTCCTGGCATGGTTATCCCAGGTTTCCTTTTTCTGTTGGACTTGTGACAGATATAAGCCTGGTTGGTTCAAGAACAAACGTACTTTCAAATTTGACTGGTAGTCATAGTCACCATAGGTAAATATAATGACTCCTGGAAAAGTTGTGTAGTTACATTGAGATGGACTATAATGCAAGACAAATGTAAAACAATTTCTAATTTCCTTGTGTCTAACCAAATCTCCTTCATGGAAATTTTATGTTTCTCTTAATTTGTCATGTTTTAAATTTTCTATTAATTAATTTCATGTGTGTAGGTGTCTGCATGTAGGTCTGTATAGCATGTATGTTCCTGATGCTCGCAGAGACCAGAGGAGGGGGTCAGATCTAAAATTGGAGCTCTGGACAGTTGTTAGCCTGCCACGTGGATGGGTGCTGGGAATCAAACCTGGGTCCTCTGGAAGAGCAGTCAGTGCTCTAGTTGCTGAGTCATCTCTCCATTTCCCCCCCCCCCCCATATCTTGAAATGGAGGTGGTCATCTTTGAACTAGAACACCCTGGCTTCCAAACTTCAGGTCTCTCATTAGTAAGTTGCAGCCTTGTAACCCAACACAGGGAGGCTGGGTGAGTGATCCTACCCAGCAGCCTCAGAGACGTGGATTCTCTCTCTCTCTCTCTTTTTTTTTTTTTTTTTTTCTCGAGACAGGGTTTCTCTGTGTAGCCCTGGCTGTCCTGGAACTCACTCTGTAGACCAGGCTGGCCTTGAGTTCAGAAATCCGCCTGTCTCTGCCTCCCAAGTGCTGGGATTAAAGGTGTGCGTCACCACTGCCCAGCAGGCATGAATTCTCTTGAATAGCTTAAAAAAAAAAATATATATATATATATCAAACTTTATTTAATTTATTTTATTTTTTAACTATGTTTCCTCTGAGACTAGCCTTTGAAATCTGTATTGGTAAAAGGAGGTTAAGGACCAGGTGACATCAGGTGAGGCAGTAATTTACACACTGAATAACTGCTGTGGAAATCCCAGATGTGCACTAATTTCCCACAAAGATCAGCTTCTGTGCTGTGGCCAGCTCGAAGCCGTCAACTGAATCAGAAACCTTATAAGGATCTAACAGGGGATTAAGCATGTAAACCTGAGCCAAGGAACTCACTTGTAGGTAATAATAGCAAAGGGTAGCCTACAGCCTGAGTAGGGCCTGCCTTGTGTCTTGTGTGTCCCCATGGTGTCCCATGCAGCACCCCTCCCCCCACCCTGCCCACAGGGCCTATAAATGGCCGGTCATGAGACTTCAGCTCTTGGCATAAGTGTCTAGACTTCTGTGGAGGCTGGCGTTCTGTTTTGGAAATGGATCACCCTGCAGAATTTGTAAATGAGCGATACATTCTCGACTCCTTCCAATTACACCGCCCTGACCTTTCGGCAGCCTCTGCCTTCTCTGGTTGGGGGTGGGGGGAGTGGCTCCCTAGTGAAGGGCTTGCTTCTTGCTTAGCCTTGCCCATCCCCTAAGTTTATACTGCACCTGCTTCAAGGATTTATAGAAACCTTTTTAAAGCTGCTAAAAGCTGTAATGCTAAATATTTACACAGGTTGGAGAGAAACAGTTCTATTTTGGGTTATGTAATCTTTGAATATTTATAACATGGCTTGAGCTCAAAACTGCCTGCTAGACACTAAAAGGTAACAGTTGTGTGTCTCTCTGTGTGTGTGTGTTGGGAGGGGGGTATACACACATGTGGGTGGGGAGATGAGAGACTTCAGTAGCTCACTGAGCCTGGAGCTAATTTGGCAGCCAGCATGTCCCAGTGATCCTCCTGCCTCTCCCCCAGTCACCAGCACTTGGGTTCAGGCACATCCCCCGGCCAGGATCTCAGCTCAGGTCTTACAGAGCAAGCACTCTTAGCCGCTGAACAGCCCTCTCCAGCCCCAGCAGGATCAACCTACAGCTAAAGGAAATTGTTCACTATATCGAATCCATTTTTTTAAACTTCTTACTGAAACGAATCACTAGGTATGGGGTGGCGCCCTTGCAGAACTATCGTGTCACTTGGATTCTTTTCAGTGAGTGTTCAAAAGAATGGCCACTACCCATATGGAGAGATTTCATATTCTTGGTGTTGCCTGCAAAATGTTGGAGTGACAAAATTAGTAACATTCTCATTTGTGTGTGTCTATAATCAACATCATTTTTTTAAAAAAGATTTTACTTATATTTGTTTTATATGCATCAATGTCTTGTGGGTACAAATGTCTACATCATATGCATGCAGTTCCCCCCAGAGGCCAGAAGAGGGCAGCAGATCCCCCTAGAAACTGGAGTTAAACATGGTTGTGAGTTACCTGAGTCTCTAGCCCCTCCACCTAATTCTTTGAGCCTGGTTCTTTCATTGGTTCTGGAGGTTTCTAATTGTATTAGACTGACTGGCTCCGGCTCCCTAGGGCTGGGATTATGGGCCCACCTATGTTTTTACTTCAGGTATGAAACCCAAGTACTCATGCTTGTACGGGGAGGCAGTTTACCTACCAAGCCGTCTCCATTGCCCCCCATCCTTGATTTTAGATGTGCACAGTAAGGGTGCTTCTTTGCCTCTTGCTGGGAGTAATTGGGAAGATGATACTTCTACTTAAAAGCAGTTCTATTTTCTTTTTTTAGATTTTAGAGATAGGTCTTCTGTAGCCTAGGCTGGTTTCAGAGATATTGTGCATCTTGGGTAACCTTGAACTCCTGGCTCTCCTGCCTCCATCTCCCAGTTGCTAGACTTACAGGCTGTCACCAAAAACAGCTTTTGGTGCTTTGAGCAAGTCTTGCTTAGTAACCTGAGATAACATGGAACTTGATATGTAGCCCAGGCTGGCCTTGAACTCAAGCAGTTTTCCTTTCTCACCCTCCCAAGTGTTGGAATTAAATCATGAGTCATCTGGAGGCAGGATTTTTTTTTTTTTTTCCTCAGAATGATTTTAAAGCTCAGATAGGAATCGAACCCAGGACACAATTTCTTGCCCTTGATTAGGACCCAGCCCAGCCTTCTGCTGCTGACCTTCCTGTATGCCAGAGGTTAATGCTCTTCTTTGGGGCTTTTGTTGGTTTTTTTTTTTTTTGGTTTTTCGAGACAGGGTTTCTCTGTGCAGCCCTGGCTGTCCTGGAATTCACTCTGTAGACCAGGATGGCCTCGAACTCAGAAATCCGCCTGCCTCTGCTGGATTAAGGGCATGCTCCACCACTGCCGGGATTATTGACTTATTTGTATTTTAGTTTATTTTGCAGTACTGGGTATTGAACCCGAGGCCTTTCGTGGTAAGCAAGTGCTCTACCACTGGCTACACCCCTTACTCTTCTTTTCACTTAAACAAGAAAAAAACCTATATTTTGTTTTTAAGACAGATACTCACTATATAGTTCAGGCTGGCCTTGAACTCACAAAGTTCTACTTCTGCCTCTTTAATATCAAGTACCAGCCTCTGCTTGGAGAGGGGTTCTGAGAGAAGGGGTGTGTGGGAGTGGCAAAAACAAACAACTCAAAGTCAAATTGTGGGTCCACGCCAGTGGCCTGTGTTCTACTTTCTCCAGACAGCTCTCCGTTCTGCTCAATACAGTTCTCTCTTGCTGTTCTAAAAAAATTCTGTATAGCTCATTTCTTGCAGATTACAAGCCTAGTCTTTTTTTTTTTTTTTTTTTGCGTATCAATCCAGTCGTTTACCCCAGGTTCCCTTTTGATTGTCCTGTGGATCAACATCCCTGATTCTTTAAACATTGCAAACGAATTCAGAGATTGCCTGCTTCTGATAAGCACAGGCCATAAACTAGCTTGGTGGGACCGGCTCTTGAAATCGTCATTACTACCACACACCTTGCTCTGTCTAGGCCAACCCTGAACTCAGGAATCTGCCTGCCTTGTAAGCATAAACAAAAAGTGCCTTTCTACAAAAATTACAGTAAATTTTGTCAAACTTGAAAAAAAAAGTGTCGTTCTGACAAGTTGGCTCATAGTGCAGCTGCTTCTTTCCTTTAGTTTCGTGAAGCCCCTCCTGTGATTCATGTTACATCCTTACTTTTTGAGAAGTTACATAATTTTGAACCCATGTTTCTAGAGTTCTTTTCCACAGCCTTAAGGGCTGTCCTGAAGGTCTCAGCTTCTACCATTTTGGTAGCCACACCCACCTCCCAGACCCAAGCTGCTCTGATTATCATGGAGTCATTAATGTTAGCACAAAGGACATTCTTTGAAGGAGGAATGTAAAAATATGTACATTATTATACAAACAAGCCATGCCCACTGCAGCCCTGACACTCTGCGAAGGCCCACGCCTGCTGTCCCTGTCCCAGGGGCAGGAACCTGTCATTCTGTCCCCCTAAGGCCATGACAAACCTGGCTCATGAGTGCTGGGATTAAATGTATGTGTCATCATACCTGAACCTATTAAATATATCTTTCCAATGTTTCCTTATGTAAATCCAGACATCTTCTATTTACCTCATTTCTAAGAGGTTAGCACTCGAATATTATTTCACACCTTGCCTTCTAGTCCGTTATGGTGAAGGTTTATTCTCTTATCACACATGCTTTATGGTTTGTTTTAAATGTGTATGAATGTTTTGCCTGCATATCTGTGCATGTGTCACACGTGTGCCTGATGTCTGTTGAGGTCAGAAGAGAGGGTCTTTGATCCTCTGGCCCTGAGTTGAGAGCCACCATGTGGGTGCTGGCAATGGAGCCCTAGTCTTCCACAAGAGCAACAGTTCCTATACTCACTAGCCATCTCTCCAGTCCCTCTTGATGTCTCTTAGAATCTGTGTTCTGTGTTTTTAAGGAATGAACTTTATTCAGAGTCGCTGCATGTGGAGGCCAGAGATTGACAGTGCCGCGATTACAGGCACACGTCGCCATGTCTAGCTTTCTCCGTAGTGGGGGGGAATCACCAACTCGGCCCTTACACCTGTGTGGTGATCACTATACCAGCTGACCAGCCTCCTAGCCCTACTAGGTGACTTTTATTCTAGGTCTAACCTGCCATCTAGGCTTGCCCAAGTGGCTCTCTCTTACTTCTCTCCTCCAGCCTCAGTTTACCCAGTTATTTCCTGGAAATCTTTGCAGTCAGTCCTGTTGATCTTCTGGTTGCTTAAGATTGGAATTGTTTTGATTTTTAATTCCTCAAAGTGTAACCACACTTCAATTGGGTGCACATGAAAACCTCCGCAGAGGGGAGACCCTCACTCAAGTCTCAGAAAGTTGCGACCACCCAGTAATCTGCTCGAGACACCGTGTACCGGAGCAATAGCGAGGTTTATTAGGGTGTGTGACAGCCCACGCAGCCCACGTATGCCCACGCAGGAGCTGAATTGACCCCGACAGCCAGTTTGAGAGGGGTTTTTAAAGGGAAAAACCACAAACCAAGGAATGGGGAGGAGGATTAGGGGTTGTTAAGGTGGCATAACATAAAAATAGCGGAACATTCCAAAGGAACCCAAACTACATGAGTCAGGGTCAGGTGAAAACTCTCTATAGCTAATCTTTCTCAAGAATGTGGTCCTGCCCTGTTACTTTGGCCTTGCCCTGTCACTGCGGTTCTCAGCTTGGCTCTACCTGGCTATCTTGCATTCTAGCCAGTTCCCGTAACTAGCCTGTCCACATTCTTAACTTGCTTCATGGCTCGGTTTCTCCATGTCTTTATAAAGAAAGCCTAAAGAATATTTTATATGTCTAAAAAGAATTCTATATACCCAGTATCTATAATTTTTCACTCTACACAAGTTGGTCTGCAAGGTGGCAATAGCTACCTCACAGTATGACTGCCTCCGGTCCAGGACCTGGGTCAATTCTGGGTGCGTGCTAAGGGTCCTCAAACTTCTTTCTCCTTCCATTTTCATGCCTGTCACGAGCTCCTTCAGGGAAGTAGCTCACAGATGGCCACCCTGGTTACAGGCCTGCTGCCTTGACGTAGTCTTGCTCAATCAATATGCTTATTTTAACAAGGCTGCCTCATCATTAATAAAACTAATATGTACACACCTGCATTTTAAGTACCTTTTTCCTCCAGCGTTCATTAATTTCCTGATCCATATACATTTGCTTTAGGGATGGCTTGATTTGGAATTCAAGAGTTGGGGTAGATAATTGAAAAGAAAATATTTAGATTTTAGAAGTTTAAGATTTGTTGTGGGGGCTGGAGAGATGGCTCAGTGGTTAAGAGCACTGACTGCTCTTCCAGAGGTCCTGAGTTCAATTCCCAGCAACCACATGGTGGCTCGCAACCATCTATAATGGGATCTCATGCCCTCTTCTGGTGTGTGTGAAGACAGTGACAGTGTACTCACATACATAAAATAAATAAATCTTTTTTAAAAAATGACTTAAAAAAAGATTTGTTATGAATCTCATTGCTGTTCCTTTTTTTTTCTTCTTTTCAAAAAATAATATGGTAACAGGTTTTTTTTTTTTCATTTCTTTTAGTGGCGAAACAAGACTTAATAAGGAGAAAATCATTCAAGGTTAGTGACATCAGATTATTGCCCAGTTTCACTGTTGATGACTTGGCGGGGGGTGGGGGGAGGTAGGCCACACTGTAATAGGGTTGAAGTGGATTAGGGTTATGGGGGTGAGGGTACCATGGTGACCACAGGTCACCAGGAGGAGCAGAAGTCTCTGGGCCTGACACACACGGGCTTCTCACAGTTGTGTCTCTATGCAGACCCTCACAGGGTCACGAAAGTCACGTTGGGTTCTTAAGGACTTGAAATACCACAGTTGCGACTTGGAACACGATGAAAGCCAGGTGAAACATGCCAGTCATCCCAGCAGGCAAGTGCCTGAGGCAGGAGGATCTCTGTTTGAGGCCAGTATCCGCACTATACAAAGAGTTCAGGATTATTTTAGGCTGTAAAAAGTAATTTTATATTAGGAAATAAGACATTTACAGGCTGGTATTAGTATTTTCCTGAACAGTCACTCTGATTACGGTACTGTGAAAGTCTGTTGTGGGGTGCCCCTGTGTAGCTCCTGTGCTTGTCAAAGCCAGCCGCTCTGGTTACTGTACTGTGAAAGTCTGTTGTGGGGTGCCCCTGTGTGCGGCTCCTGTGCTTGTCAAAGCCAGCCGCTCTGGCTGCACTCACATCCATTTTTAAGATGGTTGGTCTCCTCCTGACTTTGTCAGTTGGATGCTCCCTCGTCTCCCACACAGTCTTTGTGGGACTGGTGAGATGGCTTAGTGGTTGAGAAAGTGTATTGTTTTTAGGGAACCCCAGTTTGGTCCCCAGTACCCACACTGGGTAACCCACAACCACCTTTAACTCCAGCTCTGGGTCTGATCTCCAGGGGATCTGACACCCTCTTCTGGCCTCTACAGGACTTACAGACAAATGCCCATACCCTGACACAGCCATCCATAACTTACAGAAGTAGTAAATCTGGATTTTAAGCACAGTCCTTAGCTGGCAGCAGTCTGTCCCTCTCTTCTGGTCGTTGGTGTGTTTTGGTGGAACAGCACTCTCAGTCAGCACCTGGACACACTTCTGGACCGACGGTTCTCTCAGCACCCGATGTTAGTCTCCTGCTCTCACCAGCTGGTGGAGCCGAGCATGCAGCTCTGGAGTAAGGCTTTTAGGCTGGCATGTGCTGGTCCCTGGCCTCATCCCCAGCCCCGAGCTATAGCGTAGCCGGAGAAGGAGGTCCTTTGTCAGCTGTGAATGTTAACATGGTTTATCATCCTGACAGGATCTAGAATTGTGGGAACCACTATCAGGGAGCCTCTGGTTGCCTGGGAGGGATCATCTAGATTACAGTCATTAAGTTGGGAAGACCCATCCTCCAGGCGGGCGGCTCCATTCCAAGTCCCATAGCGAGGGGACCATTCATCCCTGAGCTTCTTTTTGTTTTTTTTTCGAGACAGGGTTTCTCTGTGTAGCCCTGGCTGTCCTGGAACTCACTCTGTAGACCAGGCTAGCCTCGAACTCTTGAACTCAGAAATCCGCCTGCCTCTGCCTCCCAAGTGCTGGGATTAAAGGCGTGCGCCACCACCGCCCGGCTCATCCCTGAATTTCTAACTGGGCACAGTCTAACCAGCTGCACCCTCAGTCCTACATGGCTCCCCTGTCATTATGGGCTTGGAGCCAAAATATCCCTCCTTTTATTGTTTTATGCCTATGAGTGGCTTGAACCCTGTGTGTGTGTGTATGTTTGTGCATGTGTGCGCCCCTTGGAGAGGGCACTGTGTTCCCTGGAATTGGGGTTACAGATGATTGTCTGCTCTTAGCTGCGTAGCCATCTCTCTGGTTCCACCCTCCCTCCCTTGCTCTAGTCAGGTCCTTTGTCAGCAGTGGTGAGGGAGTGGCCGGCCACCTTATCAGTCTCTGTAGCCACGATTTAAATCTTCTCACTGGCTCTTGTTCTTCATTTTCCCTTATTGTACCTACAAGGGTTTTTAAACATTTACTTGTTATTTGAACATGTAAACCCTTTGCCTGCATATTGTTTGTGCACTACATGCAGTGTCCCAGGAGGCCAGAAGAGGACGCCAAGTCAGGGAAAGCAGGCTGAGTGAGTGAGCCAGCAGCCAGTGTTCTAACTGCTGAACAATCTCTCCAGTGGCCCAGGGATTTCCCCTTTTTATTTATCCTACTTCATGTAGTTTGTGCTTTCCCCGCCCCTAGGTTCATGCCTTTCCTCCATTTCAGGAAGCTAGCCATCACTGTCTCTTCATTCTTCTGGCCTCTACTTCTTTATTCCTTTGGAGGTCCAGTTAGATGCACGCTGTAGACTAATGTTGGTGTCTTGGGGAGGTGACTCCATCATCGGGACTGCTTCACCAAGGAGACTTGACTTACAGGGTGACACCCAGGGAGCTCTCCTGATTTCTGTCTGACGTTTGAGCTTCAGCACTCTGCTCTGCAGAAGGAAGCCCAGCATCCTGGCATCCCGTCATCCTGTCACAGAGCTTCCGGTCCAGAGCAGTGAGCGGCAGGGGACTTCGGTTCATGAGCCCCCTGATCCCTGCTGCTTTGTTACAGTAGCGGAAACTAAGAGAGGTCTCCCTTTTGTTTGACCATAACACATCCGTGGAATGGTCCAGCTCCCCCCAGTGCCTGTGCTGCCTTTTGAACCATGTCTTCAGCTCTGTTTGAGGTCCTTACCTCCCTTCTGCAAAACTGTTGCCCAGAGAAGGATTTTTCCCATCAGTTCCTTCACTTAAAAAAAAAAAGAAATCCTTTTGAAGACAATCACCTTGTGGTGGGTTGTGTTCATCAATTATTGTGACTCTGTCTCTATCTCTAAACTGCTGGCTTTAATATTCAGTTTCAGTGGTTCTAAATCCCTTCCCCGTTCCTCCTGGCTTTCATTCGTGAGACATTTACACGTGTGTCGGGGAGGGGCTGGGGGTTGAACATCTATCTCTGTGTACAACCACATGCACATAGGTGCATGTTGAATTTTTGAGTTGACCTTTTATTTTTTTGCCTTAAATGAATGGAAGTTTATTTATTATTCCTTATTGAGAGTGTTTTTCTCTGAAGAGGATTTGTGCTGGCTTTTCCTTCTGATCTGAGACTCCTGTACACTCTTCGCAGGCTCAGTGGCTTCAGTTCAGTTGTGGTTTCCAGCCCTCTGGCCCACACAGCCACTTCCTCTGCATGTCAGCATGTGCTGACAGCGGAATGCCTCTGTCTCCTGTCTGAGTGTAGCTCAGAAGCCTGCTCCATCCTTGAGTTCCTTTTGTTCCTTCCTTTTGAGATGGTCCTTCCTTGTCTGCTTTGTGTTTCCACTGGCTTCATAGTATTTTAATAATTATTTAAATCTCACCTTTCTTCTTTTGAGACAGTACAACTCCGTAGTCAAGGCTGGCCTGTACCAGCCACACTTACTACATAGTTCAAGAAGGCCTCTAATTCACTGTAATCCTCCTGCTTCAGCTTTATAGGGACTGAGGTTATAGGTGTGAGCCGTCCTATTCAGTGAAATGAGGAGGACTGAAGGAAGAGGAGTAACATCATTACAGCGCTGGCCTTTAGACAGTGGACTGAAGAGGAGAAAATCGAGTAGTGGCCCTGTCGCGGGCTGCAGCCTGCAGGAATAGCCTGCCGTGTGTAGAACATCCAGTGGAGAAACAGACAGATGGAAAAGTGGGAGGAGCTCAGACGGCCAGTGCTCAGTGTGGGTTCCCACGAGACAAGTGGCTTTCAGGGAAGTGTTCGAGTGGGAAAGTCTTTGTAGAGCTGTGATTCACGTCATGGTGTTTAGAGTCAGCGCTAAGAAGTCAGGTGGTCCAGAACCAGGGAAATCACATCATGTCACAGTAATCACTGAGGCTTCGGTCCCTTTCATGTGACTTTGCTTAGATACATGTTTGAATGGTTCTGTCCCACCACAGGACAAGGAGTAGATGCACCCCTTTCCGAGACTGGGTTTAGGCAAGCAGCTGCTGCTGGTCGGTTTCTGAGCAATGTGCAGTTCACGCATGCCTTCTCCAGTGATCTCACGAGGACTAAGCAGGTGAGTTCAGGCTACCTGTCTAGGCCGATGGGTCAGAATCCCAACAACATGGAGCTTGTAAAACCTGTTTCTAAAGCCCGCTGAGATGCCTCAGTGGGTAAAGGCCCGATGACCCAAGTTCAATCCCTGGAGCCCATGTAATGGAAGGAGGAAACTCTTTCAAGTCGTCCTCTGACACATGCAAATCATGATGCACACACGCACACACTCACGCTTGCACACTAAAATACTAAACATAAAACAACAACAAAACCCACAAGGTATATGGAGGGGCGGTGTCCCCAGAACCCAGATGGGCACATGTGGGAGCCACTAGAAGTCCCAGCAATTGGGAGAAGGAAGGGAGAGAGACCCCTGGAACAAGCTGGCTAACTAGATAAGCCAGAACTGGTGAACCTCAGGTTTAACAAGAGACTTTTTGTCAATAAGTAATGAGGAGAGAGAGAACCAGGAACACATTCCAGGTCAGCTCAGGGCCTCTAGGAGGGCACTCACATCAGTGTGCACATGTGCATGTGTACCACACACAGAAAGAGCCACAGTGGGAGCTAACATTTCTGTAAGATAATAAGTATTCCAGGTTTGTCAGTCTGTGATGTCTATGTTCATTTCTGTTCACACAGATGGGGTATGAATGCAGTTGCACGGGGTTGAACAGTCCTGTTAGGGCAGAACTCCTGCTTATCCCCCCAACAAGCTGCACAACCCTGCCCTCCTTCCCCTACCCGACCTGCACAGAAAAAACTATGCTAGCAAGTCATCACCCCTAGTCTCCGTGTTTCTGGTAACCCACGCAAGAGTGCCCGCCCAGAGGCTCAGTTCTGACTGTGTCTGAACATAGTCCAGCTCATGGCTGGCACATCATCACTTCTCGCCTGAGATCTATGAAACCCCCTTGCTTTGGGCCACATGCGTGACTTCGCCTGTGAGATCTGTGAACCCACACAGAGAAAGCTGCCTCCTAATAAACCTGCTGATCTACGTTTAATCTGATCTAATCTGACCTCTATCTGCATAGCCAAGGGAGAGAAAATGCCTATCAGTGAGCCATGTGTCTGGGTATTATTGAGCCTTTATTTATAAAAGCAGGTGGTAGTCTGAATTGGACTAGACAGACATACCAGGGTTAGGCATGAAGACAAGCCACAAACCCTGGGTGTCCTGTGGGCTAGGCATGTGCTCTCTCTGCCACTGAGGGAGCTGCAGCCCCAGGCAGAGAAACTTGTGGTTGTGTGTGCAGCTTTTTGCACAGCACAACTATTGCTAATAATTAAAAAAGTAGAATGGCATGCCTTTGAAACTTCATGGTGACCCATTCTTATAAAAACAGAAAGAAACATTTGTCTTTTGGTTTTCAGACCATACACGGCATTTTGGAGAAAAGCAGAGTTTGCAAAGACATGGCGGTGAAGTATGACTCCAGACTCCGAGAAAGGGTAACTTGTTTGTGTTGCTTTCTACTGCACGTTCACCATGAGCCGTCACTTGGCTAAGCACACTTGCAGTCCTCAGAAATTTAGCTTCAATTAATATATTTTTATGTGTAGGTGTTTTGTCTGCATGTATATCTGTGTACTGTGAACATGCCTGGTTTCTGAGGCCAGAAGAGGGTGTCAGATCCCCTGGAACTGGAGTTACAGTTGTGAACTGCCATGTGGGTGCTGGGAATCGAACCAGGGTCCTCTGGAAGAGCAGCCAGTGCTCTTAACTGCTGAGCCGTCTCTCCAGCCCTTTCTTGGGAATTTAGGATTAACTTAAGGATCTGTGTAGCTGGGCGTGGCAGCCCACGTCTGTAATTTCAGCTCTTGGAAAGTGGAGGCAGGAGGATTATTAATTTTAATTTGAGACTAGCCTCAGCTATGTAGACCTTATCTCAAAAAAAATCAAGATCTAGAGCTGATAACTCGGTAGAACACGTTCGAAGCCCTGGATTTATTTCTCAGCACAGAGGCAGGAGGATCCAGGAGAGGGTGGAAGGAATGGGGGGAAGGGACAGGGCTGGGACTCTACTCACCTGTCATGCTACATATTATTTATGTAGAGTGCCTTATCTAACTCTCTGAGGTAAGTGTCTTGAGTTATAAAAGAAGGTCATTGTCTTAGTCAGGGTTTCTGTTCCTGCACAAAGATCACGACCAAGAAGCAAGTTGGGGATGAAAGGGTTTATTCAGCTTACACTTCCACATTGCTGTTCATCACCAAAGGAAGTCAGGACTGGAACTCAAGCAGGTCAGGAAGCAGGAGCTGATGCAGAGGCCATGGAGGGATGTTACTCACTGACTTGCTTCCCCTAGCTTGCTCAGCTTGCTTTCTTATAAAACCCAGGACTACCAGCTCAGGGATGGTACCACCCATAATGGGCCCTCCCCCCTTGATCACTAATTGAGAAAATGCCTTACAGCTGGATCTCATGGAGGCATTTCCTCAAGGGAGGCTTCTTTCTCTGTGATAACTCCAGCTTGTGTCCAGTTGATACATAAATCCAGTCAGTATAGTTACACTGGTAAAAACTTGTTTACACTGTGGGAGATTTAAGGTATAGGCAAAGAGCTCTCCATCCTACCCCTCCCCCACCCCTGTGAGTGTCGGTTGGTTTTCTTTACCCAGATTGTATACCAGAAATGAGTCTTTAGAAAGCTGAGATTTCAGCTTTGGGCAAGGCACATGGAGATTTCCAGGCTGAGATGTGAACCCAGGCCGCCTAGAGTATTCAGGGATTTTTTTGTTTTGTTTTGTTTTTTTGTTTGTTTGTTTTTGTTTTTGTTTTTTTGTGCCCTACAATACCGACTCCAAGCTCAGGAGCATCCCCGTCAGCTCTGCTTCCTTCTGATCCTGGGTAGAAACAACAGAATGGGAGGGCACTTTAGAAGGCCCACCTCTCAGTTTGCGTGTGTTCTCTGTGGTTCAAGAGTCAAAAGTTTTGGCAGAAGGACATTCCTGCTCTGTGCCTGAGAACCAGTGCTGAAAACATAGAATCAGGCGTGGCACTGGGTGCTGGGTGGTAAGGCAGCCCAAGTGTTGCCCTGAGCACATCTCTCTCTGTCCCTGGAACTGGGCAGACCCCATGTTTGTCTGATAAAGCCCCACTGTCTGCTTGGGTTAGCCTCGGGAAGTTCTTCCCCACAGCCACCTGGACCTAGATCAAGGTTCTTACTGTGGCCTAGGGCTTGAGCCTCTGCTGAGTCTCATTAACACCTACTGTATTCTGAGCAGACGGGGTCACAGATAGGGGAAGGACTGTGAGCTCCTTCCCAGGAGGGTTTCAGATTTTCACAGGCCTTTACCGCTATGTCCATGTGTAAGCCGAACCTTGATCTAACTGGACCATTGCAGATGTACGGGGTCGCAGAAGGCAGGCCGCTAAGCGAGCTTCGGGCCATGGCCAAAGCTGCTGGGGAGGAGTGTCCCATGTTCACCCCACCTGGAGGAGAAACGGTAGAGCAGGTACGTAGCCTGGCTACGTCGTTTAAGCTGCCAGGTCGCTGGCTGGCACAGCAGTGAACTTGCCAGTGTGCCAGTGACCTAGGCACTAAGTTCTGACCAGTTGATATGGTATTTGCGATTGACAGTCAAGTGGTTTGCAAGCTTTGAGCGCCCCCATGCCCCACCCCATTTTTCTAAGTTACTCTGTGAGTCAGCAGCCATTACTGATGATAGATTCTGCTGAGGAGAACTTGACATGAGCTGAGGCAGTATAGGCACAGGCAGTGGGTGCACCCAGTGAGTCCGACTCCACCTTTGGACACCCAGGGTTCTGGTCTCTGCCTGTATGGAGAGAGACTTCCCTGCTGAGGCGTTGTCCCAGCCTTCCTCTTTTTTGTTTCTTTTTCCCTTTTTTTTTTTTTTAAAGAATTATTTGTATATATGAATACACTATAGCTATCTTCAGACACACCAGAAGAGGTCATCAGATCCCATTACAGATGGTCATGAGCCATCATGTAGTTGCTGGGAATTGAACTCAGGACCTCTGGAAGAGCAGTCTTAACCACTGAGCCATCTCTCCAACCCTTCCTGTTTTCTTAATGTCTTCATTAGTGAGTGATGCTTTTGAAGTCCCATAGAAACCTTGGGGTTGGAATAATTAGTTGTGTTTCAGACTTATATTTTAAGGGCATCGTTCACTTCCCTTGATTTCTTCTCTCTCTTCTTTCTTGTAGGTAAAAATGCGTGGAAAGGATTTCTTTGATTTCATCTGTCAGCTAATCCTGGACAAGACAGGCCAGAGAGAAAGCGTCTTCCCTGGAGCGCCAAGCCACTGTTTGGAAAGCTCTCTGGCGGAGGTTTTCCCTGTGGGAAAACATGGCAGCTTGGGGTCGAATCCCAAAGGTGGCGCTCTGGGCTTAGCAGCCAGCATCTTAGTTGTGAGCCATGGAGCTTACATGAGAAGCCTCTTTGGTTATTTTCTGAGTGACCTCAGATGCTCATTGCCGGCAACAAGAGACAAATTTGAACTTTCATCCATCACTCCCAACACTGGGATCAGCGTCTTCATCATAGACTGCGAGGAAGCACGCGAGCCGTTGATTCAGTGCGTCTGTATGAACCTCCAGGAACATCTCAACGGAGTGACTGAGAAACACTGAGTTTAAAGCCGTACAGTGGCGCCTCTGAGGGGAGTGCCTCGGCTTCTTGTGTTTTCGTCCTCTGCTCCTTCATGTGATAAAGACCCACCAGGGTTCTGGCTGTTTCAGACAGTATTGGGAGTCCACTCACAGCCAACCTGGCTTTTCTGAGACATCATTTTCTACAGTGATTTTGTCACTCCGTCCCATTATGTCTCTGAACTATATTAACTTTGAGGACATTCAGCATTGCACACAGGGGATGAGTAGCCTTCTTTCCACATGCTTCCTTCCTTTCATTGGCCTTTTTTGATGTCTAGATGGTGTTGGCTTTTGAAGATGATTGTATGATTTTCCACTTGCTTACCAAGTGCTTGCAAGAAAGAACGGTTTAAATAATTTGCTGCATAGTTGCAGTGATTGTGTCAAAGTCCAAAGTGACCGAACCTTCTTACTGTCATCAGTGTGTAAGGTAAAATGGCTCTACGCTCTAGTGTCTTCCTGAGAAACTGGCTCTTGGGATATTATTATTACCTCAAAATATAGCTGAGGGACTGAAGGGGTGGGTGGGCAGTTAAGAGTACTTCCTGTTACTCTGAGAACCCCGGTTCAGATCCCATTACCCAAGTTGGGCAGCTCACAGCTGCCTGCAACTCCCATATCAGGGGGGCAGTGCCCCCTCTGGGCCTCTGCGGACTCTTGCACACATGCATACAAAAGTAATAAAAGCAGCCTGGTGGGAAGAAAGGAACACACCACTTGATCAAAACACATTAAGGATCCTCTGAACAGAAGGCAAAAGGAGCTTTCCAGGCAAATGGGGCAGGTGGGGGCCGCTCAACTTATCCCTCGCTTTGTCTCCAACCTGCGTGTAAAGACTTGCCAGTTGAAGAATGATCTAAAGACGTGCTGGAAACTGGTATCCCGAAGGCAAGATGAGGGGATCGTCTGCCCTCCAGGTGGCGCTGTAGGAAAGGAATTTTGATTGCAGCTCCAGTCCTTAATTAGGAAACCGATTGAATTGTTGAAAATGCATGGCCCACACCACAGCCTCAGGGAAAGGAATTACATGAGGAGAATGTAATTGTAGCACTGGACCCAGATACAGAGGAGTCTCGCCAGGAATAGCTGGTGGGATTGAGAGCTGATTGAACAGGAGGCACCAAACAAACTTCAGAAACCTAGAAACAATACAGTTCACCTGCGGAGGAAGATGTAGGTCAGGGCTCACAGTTGGTTTGTCCTTCCCCTGTCTAGACACTTTGTGAAGCTGGTGACTACCACTTTGGGTACTAGTGGCCCCAAACTAGGGACTTGAGATTCCAAATGCTTATGTACCTTGAACAAAAACATCACTAACACCATGAGTCCAAAGTGTGGCCATGTCCCAAGAAACTCAAGGACATGATTAAGGAGGCCACAGAAAAGTTGCCCTATGGGTGACAGTGAACTTCAGCTCACAAGTCGTGTCAGCATTGGGGCCAGTGTTGGTGCGGGAATTTGAAAGTTACAGAAGCCTGAGGGGTCTGGGGGGGTGGTGGTGTTACTAGTGGGCCCTGGTTCCATCCTCGGTATTGGGGGGGAAACACAAAAAGGCTGTGGGTTTTGGTTCTCTTCCTACTTCTGTGGAGGTTCCCTCCCCAAACCCTCCCCCCCCCCCCAACAAGCCTTCAGGTATCAACAGTGGTCCAGAGATCTGTTGTGACAGCTGGGTTCATCTGCAGTTTCATCTGGCCTGACTCTCTGTGCTCCCCTGACAGTGATTTCCTCTTATCAGCCTGTATTTTCACATCCCTAAGAGTAGACAATAAAATGTTACATTTTGAACATGTTAAAAGTCGGCCAGAAAAAAATGCATAATGGATAAGCTACCTCAAAGCAGTAAAAGTGTTATTTTGATCTAAAATCAGGTGAGAAGAAAACAACAGCGGCTTTGCCTAGCAACAGGATAATTTTTCAGAACTCACCTGCCCCCAACAAGCTCCCAGAGATGAACTGGTACACATCTTGGTACTGAGCTGCGCCCTACCTCCATGGCCTCTAGTCAGACTCACTCACATTCCACTATGTAGATTTGTTACAAAGATTCTTTTTTAGCAACTTCAGGTTTATGGAAAATTCAAGCAAAAAGGAAGTTCCCCTACCCTCCCTCTTCCCAGTTTATTCTGTTAGCAAAATCTCACCGTAGTGTTAAAAGAAGTCTATCTGAATGAAGTGTGCGGTGAGTTTTGAATTACCACGTTAATAACTGCATGTGCCTCACATCACAGAAGGAGGCATGCCAAGTGAATGCCAGGAGTGGATGTTGCAGCCTTTCTGTGAGGTCAGCGTTTCCTCTGACTGTCATCTACGTTGTATATAAAGTCCAGTGTTTACTCCATTCTTAGGGTGCCCGGCACTGCCTTTTTTTCTGCCAGTATTGGATATGTGAATTTGAGAGGAAAATTGTAAAAACCTGAAGGGTTTGGAGGTGTTGCTCAGTGGGCCATGGGTTCCATCCTCAGTATTGGTGGGGTGGGGTGGTGGGAACACAAAAGGAGAAAAATCGAAACAAACCTGCCCGTTTAAGAAAGACCAGGTGAGCCAGTGCTCCAGTGTAGCGCAGGCGCAGAGCACCACGGGAAGTCCTCCGCTTCTTAGCGGGCAGTATTTTTGTTTGTTTGTTTTTCGAGACAGGGTTTCTTCTCTCTGTAGCCCTGGCTGTCCTGGAACCCACTCTATAGACCAGGCTGGCCTCGAACTCAGAAATCCGCCTGCCTCTGCTTATCGGACAGTATTGTTCCAATGCCTTTCAAATGTACATGAATACCCAGCTATCTGTAGTCTTCCCTTTACCTGCATTGCTTGAAGCACTATTTATTTGGGAATGTGTGGATCTACTTAATTGTAACCAATGTTCTACTGAATAAATAAAGCATCTTTTGATTATAGAAGGTGTTTATGTCTGTTCAGTATTCTGTAGGTCAGAGTCACAGGGAAGTCTCTGGTGGGAGGGGCTGTGAGACAGTCTCACTGCGATGTCATCCGGTTGGCCTCAAACTCAAGATGCTTCTCTCTCACCCCTTCAATGCTGGACTGCAGCTGTCCCTCCACACTGCCCAAGGAGTCTTACTGTGTCATTCCTGTGCAGTCTGGTGGTTCCAGATCCTGTCTGACCCAGATGGCACCCTGAACCCCTGCTACTCAGCCATGTCTCTCTCAGTGTTCAGCTCTTTATACCAGCACTAGGTGCCGACTCCCTCAACTTTAGTAATCTGATAAGTGAAAACCAGGATTACCTGCCAATAAGCTCCAACTGCTGAGAAGCCCACGTGTACTCCCTCACACAGAAATGGACAGTCCCCTGCACTGGTGACCCCTCTGCTGTTATATTCTTAGCTTGTTTTTTTCAACTACCCCAATGAGTCACTGTGTAATTCGGCTATCCTGTTAATATACATAGAAACCTTCTAGTTGGTTGTGCATTTTTCCTTTAAAAAAAGATTATTTTTAATGGTATGTGTTTTGCCTGTGTGTGTGTATATGCACCATGGAGGTCACATGTCCCCTGGAACTGGAATTAAGGCTAGTTGTGAATCACTGTGTGGGTGCTGGGTGCCAAACCTAGGTCCTCTACAAGAGCAGTACCTGCTCTTAACTGGGGTGCCATCTTCCCCTCCCTTCTTTTATTTGTTCAGAGATAGTTTACATGTATGAGTGTTTGCCTGCGTGTATGTATGAATGCCCACTGTGTGTTTCTGGTTCTCACAGAGGCCAGAAGAAGGCTCCAGATCCTCAAACCGGAGTTATGGATGACTGTGAGTTGCCGTGTTGTGCTGGAAACAAGCCCAGTACAGTCAGGAACAAGTGCTCTTAGTTGCTGAGCCATCTCCCCGGACCCCTATGCATTTTTACATATAAGTTTAATTTTCAAGTTTATTCAAAATGTGTCGAAAGTATTTGGTTTTTTTTTAGAAGAGGTAAATATATTTTGTAATATATACATTTGCATATATGCATATTTACATTTGCACATAATGAATTTTTGAATTAATGCCTTTGTCGTGTATCTCTGCTCAGTCAATGTAAGCCCTACCTTAAGTGAAATGGATCTTCCTAGGCGAATATACCCAGGTTTAGCAGTCACCTAGCTACCCAAGGACAGATGGAACATTCACCAGTCTGGGAAAGAAATGGATAGAACTGCTGGCTTTGTGTTACTGTGAAGAAATGCCTGAACCAATCACTTACAAAGAAAAAAAGCTTCATTTTTGCTTACCATTCTAGAGGGCCTAACCCTTGACCACGTAACTCTATGGTTTGAGGCCTGTGGTGAAGCAACTGGTCATGGCAAGGAATGCACAGTGTGGAGCTTCTCTCCTTAAGCTAAGAGGTAAAACATGAAGGCAAGGGCCTGGAGTCCATCATCCCTTCAAAGATACAATCCCAATGACCTAACTAAAACCTCCCAAGGGATTCACCCCCTCCTACTAGGGTCCTAGAGACATTCAAATCTAAAGTATAGCAGACTCCAATATGCCTTTCCTGTTTTATGCAAATACTGCATAAAAATATCCCATCAATGTGAAGATGGCATTTGGATAAAGTGTTTTTCATGAGAGATGCCACATCCTTTGTCCTCAAGAAGGATCTCCAAGTAGGCCGTTCTAACCAGTGACTCCCCAGGCTCAAAAACCAGACCAGCTGAGCCTGGAAAAGGCATTCTCCAAACTGCTGAGCTGCCTGCAGGCTGTGCGGTGAGCTCCAGGGTTCCAGCTTTCAGTTCTTACCCATGCTGGCTTCGGTGACACAGCTAAGTCATATACCCTGGCAGATGGCCCCTCATCCTTATTCCCGTAAGTAATCCTGATAAACACGTTGGTTCACCAAGCTGAATTTTGAGAGTATCTATACTTGAACTTTTGTCAATTCTGTTTCCCAAGTGGAGTGAGTACACATTTGTTCACAACTTCCCAGGAAACACATCATCCAGCAGTCTGGCTGCCGAATCTCTGCAGAATCTCACAGGGTAGTAACACTGTCTATTAAGAACATACACTGTAGTTTAGAGCTAATCTCACCCCATGTGTGGAAGGCCTGGACACCAGCCAGTGGTGTTGTTGGGAGATAAAGAGGCAGGGCTTCATGAGAGATTCTTAGACCATTGGGGGTGTACAGAGTAGTTGGGCCTAAGCCTCTTTTTCCTGCAAGGAAGTTCTTTTCCTCTGCCACAGGCTCCCACCACAATGTGCTGTCTACACACACAGACCTGAGAACCGAGGCCTTGTAGGTTGTGGACTAGAACTTCCAAAGTGTGGCTCAAACCTTTTATCTTCATCAAGTGATCAGGCCCACTATTTGTCACTAATGATGGAAGACTAATATGATGTATTTCTGGTTAACTGAAGACTAATACAATCGTATATCTGGTTAACTGAGGTTTCAGTCCGGTTATGCCAGTGTGTCTTCTTCAAATTAAAATTTCTTTTAAGGAATCACTTGGGTAATCAGAAGCCCAATGTTGATAGAATTTCATCATTTTTTGATCAGTAAAAAAAAATGTTGAATATGTTTATAAATGGAAGAAATTTTTACTTTGAAAATTCGTTTTCCTTTTCCTATTCTGTTTTTTCCAGATTTTCCAGTTTTACTCTTGTGTTTCAACATGCATCTATGCGGTCATCCAGAGAGGGTAAGAGACAGAAGCTGAGAGAAATCTTATTTTTATTTAAAACACAAGGACAGAAAGTGGGGTTATATTTTATAAATAACTATAAATATAGAGTGATAGGCAAAAATCTTTCAAATAAATAAAATAAATATTGCCACATGCAAAGGGACCTAAGAAATTACAAGATGACCTTTCTTGGCTCCGACAAAAAGAGAGCCCCATGCTGGTGTGGGGCTTGTGAGTTTACAACCAGTTTGCTACTCAGGTTCTTTCTGGATTTTCCCATGTAGTTGCCTCAGTAGGAAGGCTTCTGGTGGCTATTGTACAGACCAATACCCCAACGGGAAATGAAAGCCAGCGAAGGAAAGGTTTGGGGTGCATGGTATCTGCTGCTATACACAGTGTTAGTACTTCAGGAGTGAAGCTGTTCCTCTGACGAGCAAACGCAGTGGATCCATGTCTAAGTCTGGGTACATGAGACAGTGGGGAACACGAAGTTGTCTGAAGGACTGGGCCATGACTGTGCCCCTCAGGTTCTCGTGTAGAGGTAGAAAAGGGGTGTCCTTTGTTGGAGTTGATCATCAGCTAAGGTGCAGAAGGGGAGAGAACCTCAAAGCCTGCCTAACACTTCTTGCTGTTCACTGTGAGGCTATGCTCACTTCCAGGACAGCCCTGAGGATTCTGGAACAAATGGAAGATGTCTTTGTTTAATGCCCTAAGAGTTCCCAAAAGTAGCTGCCATTTTGGGGTTAACCCCTGCAGGAGTCCCCCCCTGACTTTAGCTAGCTAATCCTGGATCCCATTTCACTTAGGAAACCAAAACCAAACCAAATCAAAACAAAACATCACTTTTTTTTTTCTTTCCACTTCACAGAAACCCTAACCTAACCACTCTAGTAAGGTAGACTTTGCTGAGCCAGGGCAAATTCAGAAAGCTACCGACACGTTCTACCACAGAAGCCTGGAAAGTAAGCAGGCTTGGCGAATTCGCCTTGGCTTGGTGAATCTGACAAAAGGTGTTGTTCATTCAGCAGGGAGGCTGAACTCTGGAACATGTTCGGTTTGGGTCTCCCTGTCAGCCTCCAATCGAAAGCTCTTCCCAAAGGGAAGAACTGAGTGTCCAGTGAAGACCTTAAGGTCAAGGTGCACAAACTCAAACTCAAAAGTGTGGGTCCCAGAACAGTAACAAGGAGCTGCAGACATGGCCTCTTCCCTGTGTGTGAACTCTTTCTTCGTGCTAAATGATCGATAAAAATGCTAGGCCAAAGACCAGCTAATAAAGGCCAAGTGTCTAGTTTACCTGTTAGTAAAATAAAAAGAGCTTTGTGTCTAGTTTACCTGTTGGGGTCTTTAAAACAAATTAACCTTTAAAATTACGTGTGTGTGTGCGTGTGTGTGTGTGTGTGTGTGTGTGTGTGTGTGCAGATTCCCCTGGAACTAGAATTACAGGTAGTTATGGGTGCTGAGAACTGTCTGTGCCACCTCTCCAGCCTCCCACTGTTGGCTCTTATTCTGAATAGCGGTGCCTGGCTGGAACCTCGCAGGTGACTCTCAGGCCCATAGGGAAGGGGAGAGAAACAGACATCCTCAGGGTACTCCAGCCCTCCACGTGGGCTGAACTGACTGGAGGATGGAGGCGGAGGCCGCTGGGGCTGGGGACCTAGGCAAACCTGGGAAAGGGGCGACACCGATCCGCGCCTCCCGCACCCCCGCGAACATCTCCACGGCCTCTGCGCAGCACCCCCAGGGGGTCGCTGGCCGCCAGGCCACCTTCCTCTGCGCTCGGCAGCTCACGCGAGCAAGAGACCGGCACCGGCGTGGCGCGGGGCCGCGGCTTGAGCACGTTCAGCGGGTCGCGCTCGGGCGGGTCCTCGGCGCTGCGCGTGTGGCGCCTTGGGCGCGCGGTGTAGAAGTGCAGCAGCGGGACCTCGTTCCTGCGCGCCAGGAACTGCGAGAAGGGCGGTGGGTTGGTGCCGGGCTGGAAGACGCGCTTGACGCGGCCCAGGCTCACCAGGTAGTGATGCTTCGGCGACAGGTAGACGTCATAACCGTTCTCCAGCGTCCACTGGCGGAACCTGCAGTTCTCTGGGCTGAAGTGATACTGTAAGAGAAGGGAAACAGGAGGAAGTGAGGACCGCCCCTCCGCTAGGTGATGCTTCCCCAGCTCTGCACCTTCCTCTTAGGAAAGCGCTGAATTTGGCTCAGGCTTCAGGAGAGTGGCTGCTATTAGGTCTCTCTGGAGGGCACTTCCTGGAGGACCTTGGGTTAGCGTTCCCAGCTTGTTGGGGCAGGGCTCAGAAAGACCTGATGACACTCTTCTTGTTCAGTGCTCGCCGCAGGGAGAACTAAACATTCCTATTCTCGTTCGTATTTGTATTCATTCATTCTGTTTATATCTATCTGTCTCTACTGTCTGCAGGGAGCACTAGACTAACATTCATCTTCTCCAACCCCTCCCCCCTCGCCCCTCTATCTCCTTCCAGGGGATTGACTATTTTTCACAGATGCTATGCTATGTGTTTCCTTTCCTTTCCTTTCCTTTCCTTTCCTTTCCTTTCCTTTCCTTTCCTTTCCTTTCCTTTCCTTTTCTTTCTTTTCTTTTTGGTTTTTTCGAGACAGGGTTTCCTCTGTGTAGCTCTGGCTGTCCTGGAACTCACTCTGTAGACCAGGCTGCATCTCAGAAATCCGCCTGCCTCTGCCCCCCAAGTGCTGGGATTAAAGGCGTGCACCACCACCGCCAGGCTTTTTTCCTCCTCCTCTTCCTCCTCCTCCTCCTCCTCCTCCTCCCTCTTCTCTCTCTCTCTCTCTCTCTCTCTCTCTCTCTCTCTCTCTCTCCCTCTCCCTCTCCCTCTCCCTCTCCCTCTCCCTCTCCCTCTCTCTCTCTGTCCTTTCTTTCTTTTCTTTTTTCTTTTTTTTTTGAGGCAGAACCTTGCAGTTATCCAGACTGCTCCTGAACTCTTATGTGTAGAGGGAGACCTTGAACTTTCAGTTCTCCTGCCTCTGTCAACCAAGTAGCTGCTATTGACAGCCTGTGTCACTGGGCCTGGGTTGTATACCTTTTAAAGCTGGCTGGAAACTGGTTGTGGCTAGTCTCTTTGCCTAGAGACTAGAACTGGGATGGACTTGGAAGCGTCAAATAGAAGTGAGGACACTAAGATGAAGACATGCTGTAGACTGAAGATCTGTGACATGCGCTTGCTAGCAGATATCCTGGGTTTGAACCTTACTCTCCCATTAGTACCTAGTTTTCTTGAGTGCCTACCTGGATCTTTACATACTACATTTGTTTCCTAAACTGCACAAAGAATTCTAGAGGTGAGGGCTTCCTGTGTAGTGTAGCTATCTATCTACCCTGGGCAGATGGTGTTGTAGGTTCTGGGAGGTGCACACCAGTGACAAAACAGAAAACTTTTACCTCAGGAACCTTATAGTGGGCATTGATAAGAGATTCCCGAATCAACCGGTCCTTCTTCATTACTACCTCAAAATTATTGGGACTACGCATTAAGCCTTTAGGTTCAGAAAACCTTGATTCATGATCTGAAGGACCAGCCATCACCCAGAGGGCACAGGACATTAATCGGAGGTCATGAATAGGAGGGAGGGCTGCGGGTCACGTGGTCCATTCCACTTAATCCAAGGGAAGAAACTGAAACTGAGAGGAGTGATGGGCATTACCCGAAGCCTCGATCGGTAACAGACTGAGAAGATGCCAACAGCCTCTCACCCTTTCTAATGTATAAGCTAAAAGCATGAATTGGCATGTTTCAGAACATGACATACTGGGGACCGTGTTCCATGCAAGAATGGGTCGTGGGGCAGGGCAGACTAGAGGCCCAGAGCCTCATTCCAAAGCCCTCACTCAGTTGTACTATAGCTCATTCAGCTATAAAATCTTGAGCAATCCCTACCGAGACTGAATGACCAAGGGACACTGTAAATGGAATCTCTACAGCCCTGATGAGAATTACAGTAAGGGCTGGAGAGATGGCTCAGTGGCTCAGTGATTAAGCGCCTGTACATTCTCCTGTCCCAGAGTTCAGTTCCCACACACAGACATACGATTTTAAAAATCAAGTCTTAGAAAGAGAGAGAGAGAGAGAGAGAGAGAGAGAGAGAGAGAGAGAGAGAGAGACGGTCATTATAATGTAGTGACCAACACATAAAGAAACTCACCGATCCAAAAATGTTGCCGCGGAGATCCATACAAAGGAACCTTCTAGTCATGGCTCCTGTTATCACCACGGAGCCAGCATCATCTGACGTAATCATCAGGGCACCTGCAAGAGGACCTCTCAGGTCAAAATAGGCAGTCATCCCTTCCTTGAAATGCTTTCTGAAAGGACACCTCAGAGACACCTCTCTGTAGAGGATGGCATTACCCAGCCCCTCCGTGTCTAACTTTCTCTCATTCCCTGTGACCCCAACTCCAACATCAACAGTACTCACCTCCTGCTTCATCCTACCTCACAGGAACCTTGCTCTCCCAATAATCCTGCATCTGTGCAGCATACAGATTGCCCTCCATCTGGTTGCTACCTCCCTCTTTGCCTGGCTAGTATCTTTTAGTGTTTGGGGCAGCCATTGTGTCTGTCTTAGACATCTGTTTCTATGATTTTAAAATCTATGTTGAATTTTATTCAAAGACCCAGCTGTATAGAGCCTGATTCTCCCCCACCCCCACCCCACTGCATGTGCTAACCTGTATGCTCAGAGTCTACAGTGTGTGCCCCTTACCTGGCTTTACCACATCTGCATGTCTAAAGCCTTTCCCCATATTTACTAGATACCAGGGGATAGATAGAATTTGCTTTTTTGGACCCAGTCCTTTGTGGTTTTCTCACTTGGAGATATTCTTCGTAGATGTTGTTCCTGGGCATCTTTTAATAGCCCTGCTTACAAACTTGCCTTTGACTAAGGCCTGAAGCATGCTTGTATCATCTTCACTTAAACAATGGTCAATACCTTTAAACGGGCATTCTGTACTAAAGGTAAGATTTAAGCAACACTGTGTTGTAAAATGAATGGTGATTCAGCAAGACTTGACATTTTCTGCTAGAAATAATTTACTAAATGTTTGAGGACACTTCCAACTGCCTGCTGGAACTTCACAGCCCCAAGGAGCCTGCCCCAGTAGGACTTTTAATCCCCCTTGAAAGAACACAGTCTGTGCCTAGCATATGGTAGAGCGTTACAGGGTGATTTGAAGCCTATGGCCTCTTTCCTATCCCATATAGACTCAAAACGAAGACTTTCAAGGGGAGTGAGCAGGCTAAGGTTAGATATTGCCTAACAGAAGCTGGTACAGACTGAAGCTGGCTGATGGCTCAGAGGGAATGAGGGTACACATGAGCTTGAGGAGATGACGGCAGAGAGGACCAATCAGGAACATTCATTTGTTGTGGGTTAGCATTCAGGAAAACTGGTAAGAGTAGAGAGGTACCACATGCGTTCTTCCAAAATGATGTCAGCCTATGTGTCTCAGAAATATGGCTGATTTATGTAAACCCAGGCGTACATATGAAATACGGAGGAATTTATGTCCTAAGAGCTTTGCAGTTCAATCAAATGGGGGCCAGGGGATTACATTTAGTGAAGTTTCTTTTCTTTCTTTTCTTTCTTTTTTTTCTCTTTCTTTCTTTCTTTTTTTGTGTGCTCTCTTAAGTACTCCATTTTAAATTCTCAAAACATCTGTTGGTTTGTTAAAATGAACATCATTATCATTTTAGCAGTTTTGAAACATCTTTAAGAGACAAAGCAGGATTCAAACTCAGGTCAGTGACATCTTCCTGCCCTGCAGCTGTGGCCTCTAACAGAGAAAGTGCTAAAGTACCACGGGGACACCAAGTGTCTGTGCCCACAAAGGATGGCCTCTATGTGGCTCCTTAAGTACCCTGTGGCCACAGGAGTCTCGCTGCCACAGCCCCTGTCTCCAGAGTATAACATAGCAGTTCCAGCCTGCTTTGCAGGGTTACCACAATCAAATGGGCTAATGGCTTTAAAAAAAAAAAAGCCAAAAAAAAAAAAACCAAAAACAAAAAAACAAAAAAACAAAAAAACACAAGTCGACGGTTGACCACCGTGACATCATGCCAGCTTGCCTGATTGGTAGCACTGCAGACAGTGAGCACAGTCTACATGTCTTTACTCTAGGGTCAGTCTTAATGGAAAACTCCCTGCAGAGTAAGCGAGTGGCTTCCGGGGGGGGGGTAGTGCTTGGGTTTTGTTTGTTTGTTTTATGAAACCAACAAAAGCGAGCAGAAAACTCAGTTGGCCAAGCACATGCTAAGCCACATGCCAGAAGAAAAGAGTGGGTTACCAAACAAGGTGATAAGCAAGCCTCTTCTTCAGTTTGCAAACTCTCTGCATGATAGAGAGTGAGAAGCTGGCCTTGTCCATATTAGAAAAAGCTTACTGACCCCGAAGAGATCCCAAGAGCCTTCTGAGCTCAGGGGAGCTTGGAGCATCTTTAAGGAAGATTATTCCATCTTGTCAAGACCAACCACCCGAGTAGGAGTCGGACACTCAAATCTTAACCAAGAATTTACCAAAGCAAAACCTTTGAAATGGGACAGTAGAAGCATTTGTCTCATTTTGTCTTCCTGAAGATGTAATGACTTCCAGTGGTACTGCATGCATGTGGTGTACAGGCATACATGCAAACAAGACAGTCATACAGATGAAGTAAAATAAAGGAATAAAATGAATAAATGAGGTCATAATTAAAGGATGCTCTGCTGTAAATATGTAATTGATTAGGAGGAAGATGATATCATTAGCATGTAAAGGTAAGAACTAGGTAAAGGGTCGTTCTTATGGAAATTCAAATAACTGAGACTAGTACCTCAGATTAGTGTTACCTTTCCCCCCAAAGGCAAAGCTTACACAAGACAAAAATTACACACAGCTAAAATCAGGTTAATACATTTTATTGCTTCTCAGCCACATTCATTGCTCCAGGCATCCTCTAATCCTGATGTCTGTAAGCTCCCAAGGAAAAAGGTCTACCCTTTAGACTGCTTTCAAAATAGACTAACCTCACAATCCTCCCAACCTAAGCCTGGACCATTCCAGACTGACTGCAGAAAGGCCACCTTACAGCAAAGAGATTCTATGATTCTAGGAAAGTTGTATGTGCATTCTCTAATTAAAAACAAATTCCCAATCTCTAGAACCAAAATAGTTCACCCTTATCTACTGTCCAGCACTTGAAATCACACGTAGTCGTGCAGCGGAAGTCAGGGCTGTCTTCCAGGGAGAGGGGTACAACGGCATTTCCTAAAAGTTTGATAATGCACTGGGAGCTAAGAAGTCTATGAAGAATTATGTCGCATTTCCAGTGACAGAGGATTGTGTGGTGTCAGGCATCTTGTAGGTCCTGTTCCACAGAACACAAGCAGTTTTGGGAACCCATGAAGTGTACCCAGATTCTCCCCGTCAGACTCAAACACGACTTCCAAGAGGTCACCTCAAGGCCCCCCTTTATCCCCCTGTGTTTGGGAACATGCCTTGTATTTAGAGAGAGTCTTTCTCCTCCTCTTTCTCCTCTTTCTCCTCTTCCTCTTCCTCTTCCTCTTCCTCTTCCTCTTCCTCCTCACATCTCCTGTCAATGTTGCCTGTGGGCAGGTGTAAGATGCTGGCTTTGCATGTGCCTGTACCTGGCTGCTAGGTTTTAGGTCTGTTGGTTTCTAGCAGAGAGAAGGTTGTTCGCACAGCAAGGGCACATCCAGGAAACGGGTTCACCTATCACAACAGCACAGAGGCAACCGTAATCCTTACAGAAAGTTCTTCAGTGAAATGCAAACTACCACTGCTCAGGGCTTTACCTGGCACCGAACCCAGCTGCATCTTCTGTACCCTCTTGGAGTGACTTTGTTTTGTGTGTATGTCTGTCTTGTCTGCGTGTATTTCTGTGCACCACATTTGTGCAGTGCCATTGGGGGTCAGAAGAGGACATTGGATCTCTGGAACTGGAGTTAGAGGTCACTGTAAGGTACCACTTGGGTGTTGGACTGAACCTGGACCCTCTGCAGGAGCCACAAGTGCTCTTAGCTACTGAGCCTTCTCTCTAGCCCCATTTAGAATACCTTTTCTATGTCTGTAAAATAGAAAATATGTCTTTCCCAATTTGTCACTCTATTTTTTATGTATTATTCCTTATGCTGGAAGGGGCTTTGCGTTGAATACATCTAGCTGATTGACAGGTATGGCTTGTGATTCAATTTTCCATAGACCCCATCCTTAAGAATATTTCAACTGTTTCACATCACCAGTGAGTTCACCACCAGCTAGTCAGTTTTGTTAGCAACTAAACACATTTCAGCTTCTCAGAGAAGACCCAACCACACAGGATGCTTTGGGAACACCCTGCATACCTGTTGAGTGGATGCATTCAGTCAGACTTGCAAAGACAACGCATCTTCGTGGTCTGTCTTTAACATAATGTCTCTTGAGAAGGTTGGGTTTGGTTTTGAGACAGTCTCACTATGCAACCCTGATTAGTCTCTCCCAGTTAAGTTCTGTCTGGGTTTTTATTCTCTTGGAGCCTTCGTCTTTCTATCGATCTTTCCTTCCAATTCTTGAACAAAAGGAAAGAAAACTGTCCCTCATTATTGGAAATGGGTTACAATAGCAATTATTCAGGTCGAGAAAAACCTGTAAGTCAAATAAAGAGGAAGAAAAAAGATCTTCCTTTTAGGTTACACACACACACACACACACCTATACATACAGAAGCTAGAAAATCCATCTAGCCCAAGGCTTCCCCAATACCTCTGTAGGTCAACAGCAGAGAGTTTCCCCTCTTTCCCAACCTGGAGCCCATACTCACTGTAGATGGTCTGATGAGGGGTGCCATCTACATGGCCATCTCTGTGGATCTGTAGATGATAGCTGGTCCTGGCTGTAGCTGTGTACAGGTGGGTCAGGCTTCCCCAGTTGGAGCCAAGCAGTGGGGAAGTGTCTGGATAGGCACTGGCAGTGCCCAAGCTCCAGACAGTGCACAGAGCGCCCACCAGAAGTCTGAGGCAGGTCCCCAGCATTGCACAGCGCTGAGTGGCTAATGCTGAGTTTGAAATCTGACACTCCCAGACAGGCTGGGACCTTGCTGGCCTTTCTCTCTTCTTCCTAGGAAGAAGCTGAGAACTGAGGTGGGGATCCCTGGCTAGATTCCCTCCTTTTTTCCCCGGGACTTTTTAAAGGGTGGTGGTGTGACATCAAGCAGGAAAAACAATGCCGCCACATCCTCTGTGTTGTAATCATCCATTCGAAGAAAAAGCTCAGACTTCTTAGGCTTGCGGAAGGCGTGTCAGTTCCAGGCACACACATACATGCATGGACACGCCCCTCAATTTCAAGCCAGTGCTCCCATAAGTGAATGATGTGTGGGCAAAAGTTATCTGTGACCCTGGGTCATCCGTTGACCTGTCCCACTTCCATCAGGAAATGTGAAGGCAGCCAGCAGTACTGAAACAAACAAACCCAGAAAACCAGAAAGCCGCCTCCTTGCTAACTCATCTCCTTTCAGTGTGCTTGTTTTAGTTTGCTCAAGCCCTCTTACCTCCAGCTGCCATGTGCTTGGCTGCTGCATTAGGCAGGTGTTAGACAAATGAGAACCCCCCCACCCACCATACACATACCTTAGGAAGGGTGTGTTAGGTGGAAGCAAGAGCTCAATCTCCCCCCCCCCCCCACCCATTACCATTCGCAAAGACCTCATGACAAGAAGAAAGAAAACAAGGTCTTGAGGTCAGGAAAAATGGCAAGATCTGGTTTCTCAGTTTCCCTCGTTTGGATGAGGCAGGGAACTAAACTGGCAATTATGGCTTTGCCAATAGGAAGGAGATTTATTTGGAGGACTGGAATGGCACTGCTGGCTGATCAGAGGGGTCAGAGGGCAGGAAGCATCCAGGAGTTGCAGGACTGTGCACCTCCGCAGCCGGTGTCCACACCCTGGGACCTTGTGTGAGTGGATACCTCATTGCAGGAACTGCTTTGTGCATGCCCTCTGTGGAGGTGGGTCTGATGCAGGGGTGTGGGGTGTGTGGTGTGTGGTGTGTGGTGTGTGGTATGGGGTGTGGGGTGTGTGGTGTGGGGTAGGAGGCTGAAGGCAGAGCTAACATAATCAGTCCATTGGAGGGCAGACTCCTGGAACAGACATCAGCAATCTATGGCCACAAGGAGATTGTTGCTGATGCAGTGTCCCAGGTTACTGAGTTCCTACAGTGGATGAGTATCCCACAAGATAGACATCAGAGCTGATGAAAGAGAGAGCAAGATTCGACAAATCCAGTGGAGGAAGCAGATAAAGACAAGTAGCCATCGTGTAAAGCACACGGATGCTTGCACATGGTTGAGGCAAGTAGAGTTGCCCGTTCCACCTCCAGTTCCAGTTGGCTCCAAGCTTCTGTAGTTTACAGAGTGTTTCTCATCTGCTAGTTCTTTGAACTTCACTGCTACTCTATAAGACAGACACACTGTGCTATTAATATTTTAAATATGTATTTATTGTTAATTTACTTATTTACCAAGACAGGGTCTCACTACGTGGCCCTAACTGGCCTCAACTCACAGAGCAATGCCTGCTTCTGACTCCTGATTGCAGCAATTAAAGATGTGTTCACTAAGGCTGGCCTTCAAAAAAAAATGTGTGTGTGTGTGTGTGTGTGTGTGTGTGTTGCCATTTCTGGGAGTGTTCATGTGTGTATGTATGTGCGTTCAAGTAAAGATCAGCGGTCAGCCTCAGGGTTTCTCCTCAGGAGCTATGCACCTTATTTTTCGAGACACGGTCTCTGACTAGGACCTAGCATTTTCCAATTAAACTATGCTGACTGGCCAGCAAGTCCCTGGGATCCTCCTGTTTCTCCTTCCCCAGGTTGAGATTACAAGCCTGTAAGAGGGTCCTGGGCATCAAACTTGAGTCCTCATGCTTATGTGACAAGTGCTTTGCTAACTGAGCTATCTCCCCAGTGCTAGTGTTTTAATGTCATATGCGAAGGAATGGAGAGCTGGAATCTGTAATGCTGAAGTCACAAAGCAATACCCCAGTAGAGTTAGAACTAAGTCTGCCGATGCCCCAGGAGGCTTCTCCAGGATGAGTCATCACCACAGGCAACGCTCACTGAGAGACCAAGTCCTCTTAACAGCCTGTTTAGTTTTTTCCTGTGCTAACTCATTTAACAACCCTATAAGGAGACCATTACATATTTCCTTTATATACATATGGAAACCAACGGGAAGGGTCTATGTAACTTGCCTAAGTATAGGTGGCCAATGCACACAGAGAGTGGTGGTGACCAGCTTGGACTCTAAATCTCTTAAGCCCTTTGAATGACACATAAACTCCCATAGCCCATCAGAGCCAGAGTTGTGTGACCTACTCCTTAATGACAAAGACCAGGTGGCAAAGACATCACTTTTTTTCTTAGTAAACCAAACTCTCTTCTAGGATATATCTTTAGGGAATATGTGCTTGTCACTCCAAGGTTAGATAAAAGTTACCTGACATTTAATTGCTTATGTCTGAGTCTTATTTAATAGATGATTCATTCATATTTAATGGACACAAGGGAGAGTGGTGACACATGCCTGTAACCCAGCATTTTGCAAATAGAGGCAGGAGGATCAGGAGTTCAAGGTCACTATCAGCTATGAAGGAAGTCTAAGGCCAGCCTGGGCCACACAAGACCCTATTTCAAAAGCTTAATGAATGTCTCCAACTGCTGGTGCCATCAGATTTGGGCTGCCCTCAGCCTTGGTTAGAGAAGTGTCATTGTGCTGTGGGCAGCGGCGGATGCACAGACATTACTGATCCATGTGTCGAGAATGAGAGGCTAAGTGCTCAGGCCTAAACTGGACATCTATATCAACACCCACCTTCACTGAGGCACGGAGAGCATCCCGCACCGAGGCATGGAGAGCATCCTGCACCGAGGCACGGAGAGCATCCCGTACCGAGGCATGGAGAGCACCACAGAGGAAAAAGTGGAGAGAATGCAAGAGCTGGAGGGTGGAGAGGAGTGCGATGAAATGCTATCTTCTAGATCAGATGCAGCTATTGCACTTACAAACTCATAGCATCTGTGGTTGCCTGTACAAGGTCAAACCAACTTCTCCCCAACCCCCCATAGACAGAATTGAAGATTTTCAGGCCCCACCCCTTATTAATGGGCTGTTGGCAGGAAATTGTTGCTGGGGGAGGAGAGTCTTTTTTTCCTCCAAGGATGTGGTCACTGGTGGGTTTCCCATGCTTCAGAGATTGTCCTCCGCCCATACATGCATGGGCAACACTAACTGGTCTTGATGGGTTGTCAAGGGAACAGATAAGACATTAAGTTGGAAGAATGCATGTTGCGAGAGATAAGAGGAGTTTGAGGAGGCTGATGGAGCAGATACGGTCATAGGTGATCATATACATGTATGAAGCTATCAAAAATAAAGACAATTTTAAAAAAGGAAAACCCCCAGCAACAATGCTAGCAGCAGCCACAAAATGGTTCATAAATAGAGCAGAACACTTTAGCTAATTGACAGACTAACTGGCTTTCAGGATTGAAATGCAAACTTCTCAGAAACATTTGCTGACTGCTAACTCTACGCTTCCTCTTCTGGTCAAGAATGGTACGGGCTGGGAGGTTCCTGTGAGACAGTTCACGGTACTGAGAATCTTCCCTGAGAAGAGGGGTGAGAAGGAGGAGGTTTTGGGAATAAAGAACAGAACAAATATTTTCAAGGGTTCCAATACTACTGAGAAAGGCTTTGCTCACTCCCAGGCTCCACAGGAGCCAAATTAGCAAGATGGGGATGAACTGTTAAGGGAATTCACAAAAGCAAGGCCATCAGAGGAATGATGCAACTCTCCAGCTTTGGAGGAACCGAGGGTGTTAAATAAGCTTTGCCGGAATAATGGGAAAGGCTGTCACCCACCATGGCTGGCTGGGTTCCTGGAGAGGCTTGGAGAGCAGGCCTCTGGCTCTTTCCACTTGTCTTAGGAGGAAGTGATTTCCACAGACTTTCCTTCAAAGAGATGCTCAGATACTCAGCAGCTGTATCTGAAGGCCGTTAGCCTTGTTTCTGCAGGGTGTGAGAGACATGTACCACACCTGACAAGAGCAACGGTAGATGCAAGGCTCTCCAATTAGGAAATGTTGAGAATGAAGATAAAGTTTGTCCATTGGGATAGAGGCAACATTTTCAGCTCCCTGGAGCACTTCTTGCTGGAGGACCCTGTGGAGCTCCCAGAAGAACTTAAAAAAAAAAAAAAACCAAAAACCCAAACATTCTAGGATTGATCTGATTTCATCTCTGCTGAATCAGAAGGGGTCAGGATGGGGTCCTCCATTATTTGTACTCTGTTCAAAGGAACTTGGGCTATTCAGATAGTCCAGATAGGCCATACATCCTAGCATGCACTGGAGTTAGTACATAGAAACCAAGGCTCCCTTTATGGGCTTGCTCCATGTCCCTACCACCTTCTAGGGTTCTCCACTTAACTGCAGGTTCAGATGTACCTGGCTGTTCATGTTAGTGTACAGGCGCACAGCCTTTCCCTAGAGCCCACGTGTGGTCTCTATGGCTCCCATGGATGAGCCTCGGGAGCACCCTTCAGGGATGCTGGTTTTGAGTCCTTACATCTAGAGGGCACTGCACTGTCACTGTTCAGAATCTGAGATCTGGTGTGACCCTCTGAGCTCAAAGTGAAGCTCACAGACCTTGGATGTGAGAAGAAACCTCAGTGTTGTGGGTTTTTTGTTGTTATTGTTGTTGTTTTTTGTTGGTTTTGTTGTTTTTTTTTTTTTGATGTCTCAGATGTTGATTCCCATCGGATGCCCAGGCAGAAAAGCTGGTCTCATCCGTATCTTGCCCTGGATGCCCTGGGTCTGGGGAGCATGTGCTGGGGAGATGTGTGGTGGCTTTTATTGAAGGCTCTGTCCTTATGCTCACAGATCCAGGCTTCAAATATGAATAGAGACAATGAGGCTGTCTTTAAGTTGGTTTTTCCCCCATCAATCATGTGTACTTGAAGTACTCTTAATATTAAACT